CCGTCCTCGAAGTCCATGCTGGACGCCGCGGCGCTGGCGGTCTCGGCGCCGAGCTGCGGCCCGCGGCGAGCGCCCGCGACCCGACGGTGTCCGCACGGCCGGCCCGCTCCACCGACAGCGGCGCTACTGGCCGGGAAGCCGCAGGCCACAGCGAGGCTAGGGGCGGGGCCGGGGGCGGGGCCGGGGGCGGGGCCGGCCGGCGCTGCCAGTCTCCGCGATGAGGCCTCCGATTGGCTGGCGCGGGGCGGCGGGCGGGCACTCGCGAGGGGGCGGGACGCGAGGCCGCTGTCAGGCCCCCGGGTCCTGACCCGAGGTGGAAAAGCAGCGCGCCGAAGGCCGGCGCGGGGCGGTCGGGAAGGGCTCCGGGTGGCCGGCCATGTTTGAGCCTGGCGAGAGCGTCGGGGTGACGGGGTCCAGTAGCGAACATCTTCCTCTCGCGACCTTTGGCTCTTTGTTGGCTGCGGATGACCGAGGAGGAAAAAGCTGGAGCCCTTATGGGGTTCCTCGTCTGAGACTGGGAAGTCTGGGTCGGGCAGAAGGGCACAGACTGCGAGACGGTCGCGAGGCTAGCCAGGCTGCTGGCCACTGCTGGGTTTTCAGGTGTAAGTGAAACAACTGTGAAAGCTCGCCGATGGGAAAGGTGTGGCAGGATGAAAGTAGTCCACAGCCCGAGGGAGCACGCACGGACAGACAGGGACTACCCCACTTTAGAAGTCCTGCTGGGGACAGAGGCTAAGGTATTCATTCGCTCAGGAATACTACGGGAAAACTATTTTGGTCGATGTGACCTGAACCACAGTTTTAAATAATTTAGTTCTTTTTTGTTGTTGTTTTCACAGAGCAAAGGGTGAGTAACAACAAATTGGTTACCAGATGGGAAGCCAGAAATCACCTTATTTGCACTTCTTCAGAGTTCAACCAGTTTGCTAACCCCAGTTCTGAGGAAGCAGGAAATGAAAGGGGAAAAACAACAGGGTGCATTACAGTAGCCCTGAATCTGGCCAATGCAATGTTTCCTCTTGGTTTTCCCTTCTCCACCCTCATTGACTCATCTTGTTCTCCACCCTTTTCTTGATTCCTTCTCTTTTTTTTTCCTCCTACACATGTTTTCTGTTCACCTGGGCTGAACATGTTGAAAACTGAACGCACAATTTCCCTTCTCAAACCTGCTTTGCCTCCCCATTCTGTCATCTGTTCACGGCACCCATCAACCCCAGCCAGAAGGTTGACCGTCCTCTCTTTGCTCCTCCCACTCCCAATCTGCACCCTGAACCCCTTTATTTGCTGACACCACCGAAATGTCTTAAGTTTGCCCTGTCCTTCCTATTCCCATTGCCACTACCTGAGTTAAGATACTTACCTCTCGGCAAAAATCCTGCATTTGCTCCCTAATTACTTTCTCTGCCCCTCAGCCTCACCTATTCTCAGCCTCCTCAGGCTGAAGCAGTCAAGTGCAAATCTGAGCACGTCACTCCCACACTGAAGGCTTAGAGTAGGTCTAGTCAAAGCTGCCTGACACAGAGCACAAACAGAAGAGGGGGGATAGTGCCTGACGGTTTTCACTCTCCCTATCTTTCCCCCTCCTCCGGCCTGGCCTCCTCCTCCCTATGCCTCCTCCCACCCCCTCTCTTGCTGCCCTCCCTCTCTCTCCTTTATAAGGTCTCTTTTTTTAAATTATGAATGCATTGTCTGTGTGTAATATGTACGTGAGCACAGGTGCCCTTGGAGGCCAGAAGAGAGCATCAGATGCCCCCTGCAGCTGAACTTACAGGTGGCTGTGAGCTGCAGAACAGGGGTGTTAGAAACTGAACTCAGGTCCTCAGAGAGAGCAGCAAGCACTGTTAAACACTGAGCCTTTTCTCCAGCCTGCTCTCCCGCATTGTGGCCATCAGTTTCAGACTACTAGTTCTCCAAGCATACCTGTGCTTTTCCATGGCCCTTGTGTAGAGAATTTTAATCCAGCAACATGCCTGCTCTGGCAAGGGATCACATCCGAAGACCTTCTAGATTTATGTGACCTGGCTGGAATGCAGACATGCTCTGGATTACAGTCTGATCTGGCTGAAATACAGACACTTAATACACACCTTTAATCCCAAACAATAAAGGTAAAATTAGTTTGTAGAAGAAAGTAGCCACATTTGAAAGTGACATCTAATTGAAGGGCAGACAAAGTGACTAATCAGAGAAAGATTTAACAGAAGAGTCAGAGATAGGATATGCCCAACTCTCAGGAGAACAGGACAGAAAAGAGAGGCTACTTAAGAGCAGCTCAGGAAGAGAGAAGAGAGCTGATTTTTACTGAGAGGTTTTTACCAGGACAATTTTACAGAGACAGATTGCAGAGAGAACAAGCTACATACAGGTGAAGACAGAGGAGCCAGAAGATTAGAACATACTGGCAGAATTAGTTTGAGGCCAGGTAGAGCAATTCAGTCAGAAGTCCAGAGAAGCAAGTTTGAATCAGTCAGCTTGGAGGAGTTTGGGTCAGAAGAGCTGAACTGAGTCAGCCAGCAAGAGTTCAGAAAGAGCTAGAAAGGCTTGGGAACAGGTCTCATCTGATCCCCTCATCTGAGGAAATAAAGGCAGCCTTTACATCTTGACTTTTGTATTAGTCCCTATACAGGGAACTATCTGCAACCTAATGCATCCTCAAAACATAACTCAGGATTTTATAAAGAAAACATTCTCAGATCTTGCTCCCATGTTCCAAACTTGTGCTTCTCAGGTATGCCTCTGAACATGTGAAAGACTTATCAGAACAGATTCACAGACAGTCATGCTGCATGGAGGTTGGGAACGGCGGTCTAACAAACTTGTAGGAGCGGCAGCTGCTGGTGAGCCTCGCCTTAAGGAGCAAGGCCTCACAGCTTGAACAGCTCCATGCCCTCTTCATTCAGGCTCCTTGCAATTATCGTAAGGTCTTCTTTGTACCCTTGGTGTCAAGAATGTGTGCTACTGAGTTAACTCAACTCTTCCCAATGTTTTTAATGCTTCTCGTGACATCATTTTTCTCCCAGTTTACCTTCTGGCAAAGAAATGAGTTTGTAACCTGGGAGCCTAAGGCTTAGCATGACTGAAAGGGAATAAACATTGAGTCACTATTCTCTCTCTCTCTCTCTCTCTCTCTCTTTCTCTGCCACTATATTTTGTTTTTCTCTGTATGTGTCACTATATTTTATGTTTCTCTCTGTGTGTGACTGTATCCCCCCCCCTCTCCCCTTCCTTTCCCAACCCTGGAAGAGAAAATGGCCAAGAAAGGAAATCAAGAAGAAATCTAGTCTGAAATTTGTACTAAGATCCAGCACACACACACGTCTCTTCTCCCCTCCTTCCCCTTTCCCAGGTAGGGAGCATTCTTACCTAGGTAGTTGGCCATACAGTCACGCTGTGTCTTAGCTACTTTTCTATTGCCGTGAAGAGACACCATGACCATGGCAGCTTATTTTCTAAATTATTTAGTTGTGGACTTACAGTTTCAGAAGGCGTGTCCACGCCACCATGGTGGGGCACAAGGCCGGCAGACAGGGAGGCGTGTCACTGGAGGAGTAACTGAGAACTTACAAACGATCCTCACATCCTCACGCAAGAAGCACAGAGACTGGGCCCGTCGAGGCCACAAAACACAGTGACACACCTCCTCTGACCCGCCACAGCTCATGGTCCTTCCCAAGCAGTCCACCTGAGCAGCAAACATTCAAACAGGAGCCAGTGGGGGCCGCTCTCATTCAATCTACCACACCCGCCCTGTATGAGAAGGTGTCAGCCATCCGTCATTTATTCATTTAACAAATTCTGCATTCATTTAACAAATTCTGCGCCGTCACAACACCACAGAATCCAGCCGGGCTCCGTCTTTGTCAGGCCCAGCTTTGTACCCTAAGGGCCCAATCCTTGGTGCAAAGCCACAAGTTATTTCCTGTCTTGCATATCTTGTAGCAGATAACAGGCTAACGAATTAGAGAGCAACAAGTCTATTAAAGGCTTAAAAAGATGCGGGGGCTGGACTTTTGCTGTGCAGAGGTACCTAGGATGTGGGGGTTGAAGCCAGGCGTAGGCCACAGGGTGGAGATGGACATGAGAGCATAGCTCTAGGACCTGCTTTTAGGGGAGTTAGAGAAGCTACAAGCTCGAACCCAAGAAGAGTTAGGTGTGTGAACTCACTAATGACCCAGAGCCCTTTGTTCCCATAAACAAAACATCATTTCACATAACCACGCCTTTGGTGACCTCATCTGTGTTCTTGCTCTTCCTTCTCTGTCAAGTTCACTGCAAATATTGCCTCCTTCCAGACACCTCCCTAAGGTCTTCATCAGAACCCAGTGCTACGGAAACACACCCACGATTTTACAGGAGGAGCTCTGTTACCACCTATGCAGGAGTTGATCTAGCCTGGCCTGGCCCCTCGTTCATACTGCTCTCCTTGGATGGCCTAGTTGTCGCTATGAATGCTGAGGGGGAGGGGCATTTGCTGCAAACATCATTTGCCTACAAAGACTGGAGTACATTGGATCCCCCAAACTAGACTTACAGATGCCCGGGCCACCTGATGTTGGTGTTGGGAGTGAAGCCTGGGTCCTCCAGAAGAGCAGCGGGCACTCTGAGCTGCTGAGCCATCTCTCCAGCCAAACTGGAGTGTGTTTTATACCCAAGGCTTACTTGAGGTTTCTACCTGATTTTAATTTAGGACTTTAAAGGGATGCAGGAGTCTCCAAAAGCTGAAGGGAACAATAATAAAATAATAATTTTCGCTACAACCCAAATGCCAGCAAGTCTTCAAAGCATTTTGCATGCACCATCTACCTATGATCTGTGTCTGTCCATCACCCCCGCTCACCAGTGAGGCAACCTTCCTTGCACAGGATACCCAACTGGCAAAGCAGAGCGAGCCAAACTCAGTCAGCCTGGCCCTAGACCCATGCCTGTGTGTCTATGGCTGTGAAGTGCCTACTGTGCTCTGCTGAGCAACTGTTTCATGCCAGCAAGTCTTTAATACATTTGTTTGACCAAAACATAATTACCTCATTTCCCCCTCCCCTTTCCAGCCTCCCACGTACTCCTCCTCCTGAAACCATGGCCTCAGCCTCTTCCCCCTCGGGAGGACTATTTCTCTCACT